CACGAAACACGCTTAACAATACGCGAAACTTTTTAAATAAACATTTTTTTGTTGCTGTTTTTTATTTTGACTTCAAACAGAAATAAAAGATGAAGAACGATAAAACGTAAGAAAAAGACCGTAGATTAAAAAAAAAAAAAAAAAACCTCTAACAACGCAACGATATTTTATTTCTATTCCACCCGATATGGTAATTCGATCGAACTGCTGCCGCACGTCAGGTCATGTATAGATATGTACATAGATATATATATATACACGTAATTTTGTCTATAGTCTACTACAAGAAATTGTTTTGGCGTGTAAGATCTCGTACTGATATGAGACCAGAATTATTCCGACTAATTATCATTATTAATGTCAATGTTATAAAGTAGACTTCCCTCTCCCTTCCCACCCCTTTTTATAAAACATTAAGGATCAATTATAACAACAAGATTGAATCATCCATCCGTGTGAATTAATTATTACGTGAAAAAGAAATGACGAAGAAAAAAAAAAAGAACTAGTGACGTAATGAAAAATTCGAGTCATAGTATGAGATTTCTAATTTATCTTTTTTATTAAACGCGCTAACAGACTAACATTTCAAAGATATCTTCGAAATGATTTAACAGTAAGCTTAAAAAACACTGACAATTCGTGTAGATTGCGTGAGTATTCGTCGACTCGACGACTCTTGGCGCAGAATCAATGACTAAAAGAATCTCAGAACGTAATTCAAGACGAAACAAGTATGGCCACAGGAAAAAAAGGTGCTGACCGTTCCTGGAAAAAGAAATAAATTTGTTTTCTCTTTTTTTTATCTATTTATCTATCTATCTATCTTATCTATCTTTGTTTCTCTATTTATTTTATTCAAAGTGCATCGTAATCATTATCCTGATCATTCTTATTCATTTCTTACAATCGACGATAGGAGCAATTAAAATTGAATTGTTTATTTTATTTTGTGTTTATTTGCGAATTATTCTGTTACGTTCTACGTATAATTAAATTTTTCCAATAGAACATAAGTTGCTTTTTTTTTTTTTAATGTATTTTATTCACAGATAAAAACTCGTAGTGATTATTATTCGTAAAGGGAACGAAATCGTAAATTATACCAGCAACGTTTGAGTACCATTTTACGAGATAGTTTCATTTTAGTACAATTTTTAAGTTAAATGAAACAATGAACGAATTTTCTCGTTAAATTTTAATGTAGGAATTGCATCATACTTGTATAAACTGACGTTTAACAAAATTAAAGCTTTAGCATTAACAATATATGTATATATATATTACAGAGAACGTAAACAAATGATACACTTGAAACTCGGCCAATTAACATTTATTATCTCTATTATGAGTACTGTTACGAAATAAAAAAAGAGCAAAATAAAAAAATAAACAAGATCCTTGTTATCTTGTTACTTTAAATACAAGACGCGAAGACATTTTATTCGTGTAAACGGGAATATTTGATATTTTCCATAGAATTTAATATGAAATAAATACAATTAAACTTTGAAAAAATAATTCAATTAGATTATCAAGTATTAAAGAAAATTCATCTTTTTCATTTTATGTCATCTAAAGGATTTTATTTATTAAAAAGTAATAAATAGGGTAACATCCGTGACTCGTACACACACACACCCGACCATTTCATCCTAATCGATAATTATATTCGATGTCAACGTTAATTAATAATCAAAACGTTTTATCGTTTGTGTGACAGACACGTAGGTCTTGGGAAAAAGAAAAATCTTGTCGAAAATTAAAAAAAGCTACGTGATAGAGTTTACTTTTTTTTTTTTTACACGTTCATAAAGAACAAACGCATCGTCAATTACGCAATGTGGTCTGACACTTTTTAATAGGAAATATCTTAAGAAATAAATTCTCATAAATTTTTATAAACGAGATATAAGTAATGAATAAAACAATAACTTTTATATATAATTTAATGTTTATCGAAGTTTTGAACGATGTCGAAATGGGATAAGATAGACATTTTTTTGTTCTATGAAATAAAAAAAATAAAAATAAAATATGAACAAGGTTTCGAGTATTAATTAATAAAATTTTGTAAACAGAGCCTTTCCCCTCTCATCTCAACCTAAACACTTTGTTAACCGTTCCGTAAGAGGATTACCGTTACACGGTTATGCTGTTGCAGGTTCAACGTCACGGTGTAAACCGCTCGAATCTTCTCCACCCATCATACTACTCACGTTCATCATGCTTCTCGAAGAATATCATATCGGTGGTTTAATTTCTCTTTAAAACTACAAACCTATACACACACACAAAATTTGTACAAAGTATACGATACACTTTAACTTTTTAATACTTAATTCAATATTTAAAATTCAGATAAGGAATTGAATCTTATTTATAATCTTGAAGGAAAAACAATACTATCTTATCTTATAGATCATAATTTCAAAGTCCCACGATTAATATTTTATATACGAGGAATAAATTTTCAATTCTATTTGAATATTAAACAGAAGAAGAAGAAGAAGAAAAAAAACATTAACGAACATAAACGAATGATTGTAGATATTATTATACGACAAAATGAAATCAATTTGTTGCCCCCTTTTATCGTGAATAAATTGTCATCATTCTTTTTTTTTTTTTTTCTTTGCATCGTTTGGTATGCACACTGTGAGAAATCTCTTATATAAAGCACACGAGACAAGATAATTTGAATGCAACGGTATCCCACGGAATGTATTCAATCATGAATATAACCACCATTAATTGACAATTATCAAAAGGTGATAACGCACTTTTATTTCAAGGAAAATGTGATGTTCAACGAAATACTTACAAAATTACACGTAATATTTTTGATATGCGAAAATGACAAAAAGATAAAAAGAAACGATAATCAATTGAAACAAAAATTATAATAACAAATATGCGATGAGATTAATTTCTAAATTTGTGTTTCCTTAAAACTTACGAATATAAATATAGATAAAAAATGGGGTAAACAATATACATTTATATTTCTGAAAGTATATATTATTATAAAATGCATACAGAGCATGAGAGGATGCGTAATATTCTTTTGAACGAGCGATGACGCGTGTGCGCATTAAGTTACGTAATATTATCCACCTTCTTTATGCGAGAAAGAGAGATCTTTCGAAGGAAACTATGTACATTACGTAGAATATTATTATATTCAAGATATCCCGCGCATCGGACGATTATGCGCATGCGTTATTATTGGCTAATAAAGATGTAGTTTATTCGAAAATATCCCGGGAATAAGAATTTCTGTTGTTTTTTTTTGTTTTTTTTTTGTCTAGCTAGTTCCTCGTTGATGGCTTGGCCGGGTTCCAAAGTAAAACAATCATGTTGACATGACGTACTTTAAAGATGTCTCTGCTTATGTTAGTTAGACCACCGATCTATTATACTTATGCGCAAAAGATAAATGAAATGAATAGAAATATATTTCGAATGAAAATAAAATAAAATACGTTTCAAAACGTTCCAATTTTTAAATAGTAAAATTATTTCTTTTTAAATATATACGATAAAACTTTACGTAATTTTGCTATAAGATTGAATTGATGTTTACTTAAAAAAAAAAAAGTCGTATATCATTTCACAAAATATTGATATTTATTATTTAGATAATATTTGAGTATGCATATCACGAGTTAATTGTATGAGAATAAAAGAACACATAAAATGAAATATTATACGAAGCAAAATGGTAACTCGTATCTAAAAAAAAATGAATAAAAAAAAAAAAAAAATAAGAAGAAAAGAAAAAGATTGGTACACTCATTCTCACCAATTGCACGAGTTTTATGATGCCAGGTATGGTCCTAAAGTAAGACACATTGAGCCTTATGCCAGCAAGAGGACTAGGTTGACCTGGTTCCGTCTTTACTGTAGGCACCTGTCTTGGATTGTTAGTTGCGTTGTTGCTAGAATTGTCCATTGTCACTACGGTCTCCGACATCATATTACGTCGCTTATCGCGCGTTTTTCACTTTACGATTTATTTCGACAAATAACGCACTTCGTAATCTCTTGATTAACAACAACAAAAATGTTTCTTTAATAATACAGAACGACTCAAAAATATTTAAGAAAATGGTCGAAAAAAGTAAGATCAAAGAAAAAGAAGAAGAAGAAGAAAAAGAGGAGGAAGGGAAAAGTAATAAAGGAAAACCGGTACGTTTCGAAAGTCAAACGAACAAACACCTGTTGGTTTTAAACACGGCCCTCACAGTGGCCTCACCACTTTAAGACTACGACGTAATCAACGATAGAACCGCTATACCCCTACCACATATTTTTACCATATCCCCACTTTTCTAATTTATTCCCCTTCCACACTGATAGATGTACGTGAGCATATATGCGTGCCCTCCTATGGAAATACATCTCTATATATTACGTTTTGGACATCTTTTTATGTTTCTCTTGTATTCTTCTTTTTCTTATTATTATCAATATTATTTTCATATATAGGAAAAAATATCGAACGATAAGAGTTATTTTTCATATAAAAATTTCATACTCGCGTGTGTAAATGCATATACTAGATATAAGAGAAATGTTTTATGATACAAATTCTAATCTAGCACTAATATTTGATATGTTGCTATATATGAAGATTATTGACGAAGAAAATAATGAAAATAATATGTTTTCATTGTGAAAACAATATTATTCATTAACATGTTATTTAATATTATTATCGTCTTTTCTGTAGTAGTATCCGAAAAATATTCTATGCGATATTTACGTTGATTCGGTATTTCAATTTGAAAATGGCGCCATACAACGATCCTAGGGACTTTACTTTTCTCTATTTCAAATTATATTTTTATTGGTTGGTTATTTTACGATAAGTAATATTCATAATAGTTGTCATTTATCTCTCTTAAAGTTACTTCACAAGTATAAGAGACATTTATTAGTGTTATTAAATTTTTTACTAAAACAGTATTTGTAAATTAAATATAGTAACTAGATCGAAACAGTATTCATTTTATCACTAAATATAGGGACTTTATATGCAAGAAGAAACGTAAGATTTCTGCTGTTACGTGTAGCATAACTTTAATGGAGTCGTGATTAAATATAAGATACATTGAAATGAAAATATGAGTGCTACTGCGAAAGGTTTTATTCAAGATTTACCTCCAAAGGAAGGGTATCGTCCTATTCAAACAGAACGTATCCCTTTGCGTAGTTTACTTGGAGGTAATGCTTGGCTTTTTTCACAAGTATGACCTTGCATTCTTAATATTAAAAAAAAAAGCTATAATTTAATATTTTTTAGGACGATCAACTTTTGCTATAGTCTTATTATCTACCATTGTTGGGCATTTTTTGTATTTTATAGAATGGAAAAAGCAAAAGAGAGAATCTATTGAAATGAGAAGTGCTCAATTTGCACTTTTACCATTCTTAATAGCTGAGAGAGATCGAGCGTAAGTTGACCCATTTTAAATCTATATATTGAAGAATAAAACGTTTTGTTTTTTTTTTTTATTAACAATCTTACTGTATGATATGAGCTCTTCACAGCTAGAGCGATTAACTCCGGTTTAAGAATTTTGAAAAATTGTAATACTGGAACACTTGATACTTAACATTTTTTATTAAAAATAAATTTCTTTCATAATTAGAGACTAAACGCTAATAAATGATTAAAATTATCAAAGACGTTAAATGATAAATGATATTGACAATATATATAAATTTATCAATTTTCTTCATTTTTTGTTTTTGAGTTAATCAATTAAATAAATAAGCAGCTCATATATCGAATAATTTGTTATTTATTTGAAAATAGCAATTGTCAAAACTGAAATTTTCAGAATGTTGAAACAAGTCAAGCGTAATTTTGCTGAAGAAAAGGAGTTGATGAAAGATTATCCGGGATGGAAAGTGGGTACATACTTTGGGGAACCAGTATACAAAACAGTACCAGAAGATGCATTCGTTGAGCCAGATAATTATGAGTACTTTGCACATGCAGATCCAAATGAAATGGACTGGAAGCGTATAATAAGACAAATATTCTAAAAATAGTCATTAAAATATATTTAACAGAAGTAGTAATCTATTAAGATAGACATTAAATAAAAGTGTCGAGGCATTGTATATAACATCAGAAGATTTCAAATCTCCTTTTATACCTCTAACACGACTATTACTGATTCATTGTTTTTTAATTATTACAAAATAGCAAATAATCGACATTATTCTCTAAATTATACATACAAGTTACTCAAGTACTTGTACCCTATCAACTTTTTAAACAACTAATATTTGCTTCTAATGTAGTTTTCAAATTCTTATTTCTCTTTTATGTTTATCTTTAAAATTAAAAATCTTAATCTTTTAAGTTCTAAATTTCTTTTAAAAGTTTAAAAATTCTATACTTTAAGAATTATTACACTTTCAAATTGATATAAATTTTATTGCACAAGAAAACACGTTGTGGAAATATAATTTTACATAACAAAGTGATATCAAAAGAGTATTTGTACCATAAGGACTATATATATATAAGATCTTACAATTACTAACGCTATTATGACTCCGAAGAGAATTTTTAAAAAACTTTATCAAATTTTAGGAATCACAATTAATGATTTATCTTATACAATAATTTTAATCTTTAACATATCATTTTCACTCTTTCTTTTATGGATTTGAAGACAATAGGAGCAATAGTTACGAGATTAAGTTAGGTTAGAAACGGAACACATATAAGCTGTGACACAGTGTAAATATAGAATAAGATAACATAGGTATGTGCTATTTTTATCCACAGTACTGGTCAACCATTGGTCCTGATTGGTTATGAAAAGTAACCAGAGAAGTTTAGGAAACTATGAGATATAAAACAAATAATGGAAAATAAAAATATGAAAAATAATATATGCATATAAATAAAATACAATCGAATTCTTGTAATGTATGTACGTGGATTATACTTAATTTATTTTTAAACATTACATACTTAATAATATACCTTAGTTATAAAATAATTTCGATGTGATATTCTTTTCAATAAAAATTTCCCTCTGCGAGGTCACCACTGCACAGGAACGTTAAACCAAATGTACATTAGTTTAAACAATTACATAAAAATGAAAAAATGCTAAAATTAGATCGTTATAATCTTAAATTTTATTGATTAGATGAATTATTCCCTTTACACACATGCGCAACGTTCGGAAAGTTATACAAACAACTTTTAATAAAAGAATTTTCATAGAAGAGAAAGTGCCAGTCTCAAGGTGAATTTCGAGGAAGACGGTACATAGACGATATATTCCGAGCTTTTTAACAATAGTAGACATTTATATCGATTAATTAACAATTATTTTAATTTCTAATACACCCTCTTTATATTTCAGATTGTTTAAGCACCTAATCATTAATTTAAATATTGCAAAGCTATTAACATACTTTGAATAGAAAATAATTTTGATATGTTTTTATGTTACGTTTTTAGATGATTATTTTAAACTTAATTTTGTTACTGGTCTAAATTATAAACATAGAGTCCTCTGATTACTTGCATTGTTTTTTTGTCACTTCTCTTGTAGATTTCGACGTGTAACCATCGGTGAGTGTTACTGGCGAATAAAAATTAATTAATATTTATTAAAATTCGGGTCTTCAGAAGCGGTTACCTCCTCGTGGTTAGACCCGGGCAATGGATATTACTTTCCGTGTAATGTTTATCATAATTTATATGCTATTCATTACATTACAAGTAAAATCTAGCAAAGACCGCTTACCATAAACATTATAATTGTAATTAGTTTCTTTTAACTTCCTAATTATTACCATATTCTTTTACTCCTTTCCTTGGTTCCTTCTATCCATTTCATCTATAGAAACTAATTACTTTATAATGTTTCTTTAATAACTTTTATACATTTACAGATACCAGGGAGTAGTTCAAAATTGTTGAAATTTAAGTTGCAATCTGTAAAAGAAATTGCATTCGATTCATTCATTGCATCTTTACAGTCCTAGAATAACATTTATTTTTTGCAGGTTTCTTTTTTAAATCTTTGCTGCAACGGATAGATAATAGGCTCTTTCTTTCTAAAAAAATCGTTAATAAGATATCACTTCATACATCATTGATAATGTTGCTTACGAATTCGTAATATATTTTTAAAAATTTTACATATCTATATTATCCTACTTTAAAATATTAAATATCTATTATTCTATTTTGAATATTAATTAATTTTGATCTTATGTTTCATTAGATAAAAATTTTACTCTCGAAGTTATCACTGTGCAGGAGCGGTTAAATAATTACATAAAAATGCAAAAATAAAAGCGTTATAATCCTAAATTTTATTTATTACATGCATTATTCACTTTATACACACAATAAAGTGCAGAAAATGTCAGAATGCAATACTGCTATGTGCATTTTTGCCATTTCTTTGAAAAGTTCGGGTAAATATTTTTTATATTAAGAAGTTAGTGGATTTTTATGACTCTTATATTAAATTAAAGTACACTCCTTTTTTTACGTCTAAAATACTTTGTCAAGTTACAAATTTTTCATGGAGTGGTATGATGCAGTAGTTACAACACACATGTTTATACACTATAAATTAAAAATAATTATTTAAAATTCCATTATACAAATAACGATACTATATATACTATTATAGAATATATCATATACTATCATATACTATTAAAGAATATTGTTTTCTTTGATAGTATTGTACCGTTGCCGCGTTAAGTACCTACTATCGCCCACTTGTGGTCCCGGTAGTAACTAAAATGAATCTGGGTAGATAAAAAAGGGGACTAGTGAGCTTCTATGTACTATTGTATTTTATGGTGTCGTGTTTTTGGGGATTAGTTCTACACAAAGTGTATTTGATAAATAATAAGATTAGGAAAATAAATTAAACTTTTAGTATTTTGATTTATCTCTTTCGCTTTAGAGAAAATATTGTTTCTTTTTCTGTATTAAAACTAGTATATATAAGTAATCAATAGAAAATGTTAGAAAATTCTATTATATGTTGGCAGAACTGAGTTTTTATCTGTAATATAACCTCAACATGTTTGTGCACGTGTTGTTGCATTTTGATTATTTATAATGTCCAAGAATGCATGTGTATAAAATTGTGTGAAAGTTTTATTATAAAGAATAGATAGTATATAAATCAAAAAATTAAAAATAATGTCACCAGTGATTGATGATGAAATTACAGAAACGATGAGTTACAGTAATGAAAAAAAGAAACGAAAAAAACTTTCAATAACATCAAATAATAATATAATTTTGGAGAATGATGAACAAAATATTTCTACTACGAGTGAACAAAATCATGATAAGAGTTATGTTAAAGAACATAAAAAAAAACGAAATAAGCATTCATTAACACTTTCTAATGGTATAACAACGGAGAGTGACTGCAATACTACTTCTATTGAGATAGAAGGAAATCAGAATGA